GAATGTGCCTGCCTGCATGATAAGTCTTACGTTATCAATGGAGCAGTTCTTCTCTGGCTTTACAGCTTGGCTTGTGCTATATTTATTGGCCATTTCTGGTGTTAGGCCATCGTTTATAAATGCTCCTTCTAAAGGCTTTTTTTAACTAATCAAGTGTACTGGTTGACAGTTTTGTTTATCTGTTGCAAGTTAAGTAGTTTGGCTGACAATACTTCGACTAATTCGCGCTTTTCTGTGCTTGAAAATTTTGCAATTATTTGAGCGATAGTTTGCTCATTGCTTATCAAGTTTCTCGCATGGCCTTTTAGTTTTGTCTTAATTCGACTGATAGCTGTTGTTTCATGCGAGCTTTTTAGAGAATCAAGTAAATTCAAAGCGTCTATGAAACTTTGCCAATTTTCTGCCTTTCCATCGAGCTCAGGTATAAGTGATGAGACTTATTTTAAAAAATTCGACTACAGGTTGAGCCATGTTTATTTTGTTTATATGTTCCAGATTTTCATCTATCATTGACTCTGCTAACAGTGACTTATCAAATGTTACCGGTGTATTTAACACTGATAGTAGATAAAGCTTGAGATCATACTTGTTATTTAAATGTACCAGATTATCCCTTAGACGCTGTAGAACGTCTGAATTTTGGACTCTGAGTAAACTTGTCATTATGAGGTTATGAGTTGTACCAAACAACATATGTTTGGTTAGTGGTTGTATATATGTCTAATACTGTACTGTACTTAAGTACAGTGAGCAATCGATATGTGCGCATACCACAAAAGCTCAAAAATTCCTTCTTCGTAGGAGCTCGCTTCAAATTAAGCACACACCGATTAACTTTATGGCATTTGATTTTTATATTAAATTCGTCGGTGACTGAATATTTTTTCCAGCTTGGCCCCATCCGATGCTCTTGGCGGTCCCATGTTGGCCCAGTCGGCAAACAGGATTATATTGGCACAATTCAAATTCAACATTTTCAGGTATTTTCCTTACTATTGTTGATATGGCGATGACCTCGTCTCCCCTGTGAAAGCCATCCACTAGTGACATTCAATAATGACTTTACCCACGCGATCATAAAGGATCCAAGCGATCAACTCCGCATCGCCACAGGAACTAATGTACACCTCTATCCTGCGGACGGATTTGCATGGAGAATGTCGCTGATGTCATCACAAATGCAATATACACCTTCCCGGAAATGAAACTAAATAGCCGGCAATACCTTACAGGTCTGCAGCCCCTTGGATAATGCCAAATTCAATACCAATTTGACGTTACCGGGCCTATTTGGATTTTAAACTCCAAAGTGCAGCAGGTACCAAGTCTGTCCCCGTTTGTTAATTGACGACGCTCCAAGCGTCGAATATCCTTTTATATATATAATCTTTCATAATTTTCATAAAGACCTGTTTGAACTGAACATTGCACTTCATCATTCTCTCATTGTCGACCAATCTTTTGTATGCCGCAACTTAACTTTTTCGTGGTTCCATAATAAGCCTATCCGGTAGGTCTGACCTATTTTCACCATGGTTTCTTCGTGTATCTTCTGTGCTCGTGCATCGTCGCTGGCTGCGACTGGTAGCTTCACACTAAATGCGGATCCGCATCATTACTCCATCACCTCCTGGCTCCGGTTCCTTGTTACTGTTCCAAATCCTACGCAAAATTGCAGTTTTACTTAAATTTTCACTTAAAGCGCAGATCAAATGTCGCGACAAGTCAGATGTACCGCTTCCGCAAACAGTGATTAATTGAACTGGATCCGTAACTGTAATTATGTCCATGACCTGATTTTGGTCTCTATAACCAATTCCCTATTGAAGCGATCCTCTTCATTAATATCAGTACCGACAGGTTGTAGCCTTGTTCCCACATCCACGGGAACATTTAGCTGTTATACAGTTCTCCTATTTTACTTTTTATTAATTGTGTTATTTATGCCCTCTCCTTCGTTAAAGCGTGGGCTCTTTTGGGTGGCCGTTGCTTTATCCTATCACTAACCAAACAACATACAGAGTGGACAGTCACAGTGGGGCGATGGGGCCGCTCGTTTTCTGTGTGGCTGGTCCAAAAGTCGCCTTTGTTTTTGTTCGGGTTCATTAAACGGTATCGCTGCCTTTTTTATTTCTTTGCACTACAGGAAACTGCTTTGGCTTACTCTCAGTGCTCTTTCAATCTGTGTATTACCATTGTACTGTCTGTGTGTGTATTTGTCCGCACAAGCAAAAATGCCCGCACATTAAATTTTTGTTAAAAGTCGGTGGCTTTCTTCCCTTTTAAAGGGACAAGTAATATGAAAGAATGAAATGGTTTGTGACGTTGTTCCGAAATTCTTGCATTTTAACTCGTTATCATTGGTAAGGGTACCTAAGCGTTGCCATGCATTTAAAATATTTTGGACTTGCTCTTCTCGCATACTTGCATATTTTATATATGAATAGAAGCAGTTATGCGCTTGTGTGCCTGTTGGTGGTTGCCTCCCTGTCCCTTGCAAACAAGATGGGAATTTTTTGTTATTTCTGTTTTTCGGGCGCTAAACACACCCACACAACCAAATGTGCATGAATCGACAGATCATGGGCGCAAAAGAAAATTTCATTGTTTATAATTATTATTTTTATGAATTTGATGAATGCATGTTGACCCCATATTACCTGCAGCAGCCCGTTGGGCCGAGAGGGTAAAATTTTGGCAAGCACCTGCACCTGAATATGTAGGTCAAGTGAGTGATCACCTAAATAATGTTATGACCAGCGGAAATTAGTTCAAAACTTAAAATCCTAGAATATACTAAATACAAAGGATCGATTATATATTTATAATGTTCATAATTATTGCCCTTTTTATTCAAATTATGCAAGAATCTCGCAACGACGTGGCAACCGTTTCATTCTCTCATATTACTCGTCCCTTTAAAAGGGAAGAAAACCACCGACATTTGACAAAAATTGAATTTGTGGGCATTTTTGCTTGTGCAGACAAATACACACACAGGCATTACAACGGTAAGTACACAAATTGAAAGAGCACTGCGAGTAAGCCAAAACAGTTTTCTACAGTGCGAGGGAATAAAAAAAGCAGCGATACCGTTTTATGAACCCAAACAAAAACGAAGGCGACTTTCGACCAGCCACACAGAAAACGAGCGAACTCTGATTGTCCAGTCTATATGTTGTTTGGTTGGTGATCCTATTCAACTTGGAATGTACTTGATGGATCATATATTAAGCTGGTTGCTTAAACATAGAAACTCCTTGACTGGAGTGGAGACCCAGCCTGTACTGGAGCTACGTTCATGCGCATAAACTTCAAATGATAGACCACGTCTTATCTCCAGCGCAAGTCGCCCTTGCAGTCTCTTATAATAAGAGATGCGATTAAGTTATCATGCCACATGCCAATCGAAGATTCAATTTGAATTTGCCATGTTATTCCCGATGTTAATAGAGTCAGCGTATAAGTAAAAAATACAAGCTCAGCGGTTTTATTCTGTGGAAATGACATAGGTCAATTTTCTGCAGAGTTTTCATTTTCGGCCTTCTAACTCACGATAGTATCACTAACCAAACAACATATAGACTAGACATGAGTACCAGAAGTAGACACAAAATGTATCGGTGGCATCTGGTCCAAAATCGCGGGTAAGGGAGTAAGATATACATATGATGTATTTTTGAACCGCTTACTCTACAGAAAAGTACTTGGCGCACTCTCTTCCATAGGATTTGTGCGATAGAACGGCAACGCTGTTAACTTTTATCTCGCTCGCAAATACTCTCAGCCAACAATGCTTTCTCTTTATGTTTAGCGATCGTTTAAGTGCCTTCTAAAGGGTAGAAATGCCTCAGCATTTGGGAAAAATTGAATTTGTGCGCAGTTTTGTTCGTCGGACAAATACACACACACACACACACATTAAAACGATCCCTAAACATAGAGAGAGCATTGAGAGCTGAGAGTAAGTGCGAGCGAGATAAAAGTTAACAGCGTTGCCGTTCTCTCGCACAAATCATATCGAAGAGAGTGCGCCAAGCAGTTTCCTGTAGAGTAAGCGGTTCAAAAATACATCATATGTATATCTTACTCCCTTACTCGCGATTTTGGACCAGATGCCTCCGATACTTTTTGTGACAACGCTGTTTGTATGTGATGTCCAGTCTATATGTTGTTTGGTTAGTGATAGTATGGAGCTTTAGGTTTAAATAATGGCAACAAGCCAAAAACAATGTGCCGATACATTCGAAAATACTTTCAAAACTACACAATTGATAGCGCATTTCAATCTACAACAATAATGCAAAGGAAAATTTATGTTCATCATTAGAATGAAAAAATGTGTCACATAGTGTTCTTATAAAATTATTGTAGCTTTAGTAGCAAACGCTTTAATTCTAATGTATTTTATTATCGAATAAGAAATATTCATCGATAGCCACATACATACGCTCTTGATGGTACTATGTTGCTAATTCTTGATTGGATGTTGATACTATATGAAATTTAAATGAGAAATTATAGAAGTAACAGATAATTAAACTAACACAAAGATATTTTTATTAAGTGTGTAATGCATTGATTTTGATATATGTATATTGATTAAAAAGTTATAAAAATGACTTGTCGATTAATATATCATCAATTCTATTTCGTACATTTATGTACGGCTACATATTGATGCATTTATTTGCAAATATTCATATGTATATGCTTAAATGGAGTTTAAATTGTGCGCGCTCCATTACATAAATATAAATATATAGCTTATCAACATATATTTATTTACATACGAGTTCAAATAAAATTTTGTAACTATGTAGGAATATATACTAATCTTATTATATATATATATATATATATATATATTTTTTTTTATTATTATATATTATATTATAAGACATGTACCTATAAATATGTGTTGTGTATAAGTATGTATACATACGTATATGTATATGTGTGAAAGGTAATGGATCTTTGAAGATACACATACATACATAAATGTTCAAAGATTTTAGTACAGCCAGTGCGTCGCAATTGCTCGGAGTTCGCTTTTCAGAAATTAAAGCTTTAAAAGCTACCTTTAACTTAACTTTTACGTGAAGCTTAACTAAACAACACGAATCCTTTCAGTCTTTTTTAAGATTCTACCAAGCATAGAGTAATGTGGTTTAATTTTCTACAAAAAAATTGAACAAATCAATTTTATATAGTAAGAGTTTTAAAACATAAATTAGCTCTATCTGTAAATAGTCTGTGTGTGTTAAATTTATACTGAATAATGCAGTTAAATTTTTATTATAATTATATTCATATTGTGTGTACACACAAATTTTTTATTATTGTGTGAATGCATGAATATACATACATACATACATATGTACATATGAAAATCCTTATTGTATATACATATGTATGTACATAAATTACGTGCATTATGAATGAATATGCATTGCAACGCTGTAGGGCCATGTGAAAACAAAATGTACATACGTATACATACTACATTTATTCATATATAAACTGAATTTTTAAATATTGGAATTCCAAATGACCAAATAAATTCATACAGTGGCTTGCGAATGATGTACTTTGTGAGTAGGTGTAAAATCCATATATGTACATCATTTTTTTTTTCTAATGTAAAAACAATTTCTTGACATACTGTAAATATATGTACATACATACATACATATCATTTCTAAAGATACATATGTAAGTATGTATATGAGTACGGACATAGTACCAATTTGTATATATGTATGTACGTACATACATATACATATTTATGTCTATGAAGTTGTCGTCGTATTTAGCTTTGACGATTGAATATTTTTTACGATTGTACGGACGTTTGTTTTGATTGGTACATACATACAATGCCTTTGCACAGTTACAGCCATATAAGTGTTTGTATGTATGTACGTACATAAGTGCATATTCTTACTATTAAAATAAAAAACCCTCTTACGCATTTCCATAAATTTATTTTTCAGTAATACTTATTTATAAAATCGTAAAAAATAAAGTAACTTAATATAGATTAAAAAAAGGCCACAACTAATACGAATGTACCGCTTTAAAATATGTAGTAAGTGTACCGTTTAAGAAAATTTAAATATAATTGAAATTGACAGGTACTAGTTTGGTTACACATAAAAAAATATATGTAAACATCGGCTTATTATACCAGCGGGTTTTGGCCGAAATTGCCCATGGAAAATTTTGGGCTACAAATTTTAGAAATTACTTTGTCACCCAGTTCCCGTCCGCGGAAAATTTAAATTTACCCGCCCATCTTGATTTTCATTTCTTTTTAAAATCTTAATTAACCCTTTGACCCACATTTTCCATTCATTTCACAAGGATCTTTGAAAATAAGAATGAAGCAAATACGATAGTAATAAATAAATATGAAAATTTCCGCCAAATTTCCGGTTTTGGAAATTCATTTTCTCGAAGAACTTTGCAAACGACCTTACATTCGAAACTTCTCTCATGTAGTTAAGATCCAAAACTCTCAGATATTGGCGAAACTGAATTAATTTACACAAAGATCTGAAAAAAGCCATTTCCGTTTTTTTCAAAATCACACGTAAACACGTATTCATTAGGTTCTTAAGTAGGGCTTTAAAAATAAGTTTGAAGCAAATCAGATCGAACTAAAAACTTTTGTCAACACATCTTTGATACGCATTTCCCATTGAGGAAGCTAGGAATGAGTTTTCAATAAGATTCCTAGAATTGAATATCAACTAGAAACTCATCAAATCCTTGATCCCTATTTGGATGGATTTTCCGCTCAAATTAATTTAATAAGAGTTAAGGAACCAAACTTGACATGTAGCTTCTAAAATAGTATATGAATTCAAGCATATTTCATATAATGGCTATCTCCGATCCCGGCTACCACTACATAGCCATAAATAAAGTTAATAAACCAATTTATATTTCCTAAACCAACAATTTCAATGCAAGTGTCTTTTTGGGAGTATAAAATTTTACAATAGCACATTAATATGTACTGCAGAAAATTGATTAAGATTGATAAAGAAAAACACAAAAGTTTTGTGTTTTGGCTGGGCACGTGTTAGTTACAGCTAGCGCAAATTGCAAGAATTTCTGTATACATATTTATACACACACATACACATTCATGCGCACCTTCTCTGAATTTAATAAACAGCATAGCAATTGCGATTGTATTGTTTTCCGTGCTGCTATTTAAATTAGTTTTTTTTCTTATTACGACTCAATTGTTGGAGTGACTGTTTATTGAAGGCAGTTGCAAATAGTGTGGGCTGTTACGAAGCAAACGAGCTCGTAGCGCGAGCTGAATTTGGTGTTTGTAGAAGAGGAGCTCCCGACTAGAGTCTCATATTTTTTCCACTTGCGGACGCTCTTCCGGCTTGGGCGGGTGCGTTAATTAACAATTAGTCATGCAGTCAGAACAGTTTTATATATAGAGATAGAGATAGAGCAAAAGTACCGCTTCCTTAAATAAACAGCTTATCAAGTTGTTTTTATTTACATAAGTGCCCCAAAGTTTTTCTTCCAAAACTTTAAAACTGCGCTCTCGAAGTAAGGGCTCCATTTTAGGTACTCTTTTGGAGATGTCGTCATGTTTATCAGCTGTTGATACATCAGCTGTTTATGGTTATGATACTTTACCATTTTCTACAACATCGATAAAAATCTCGAGGCTATTACTTAGAGGCTAGCAATTAAGAGTTTTTTATTCTCCCAACATTTGATATAGTAGTCCTATATAGAAAGTATTTTGCTCAAAATTAGGGAGTATATTGATACTTATACATGCTGGGTATGTATAAGTTTATTTTACAAGAACTTAAAGCATTAACTTATCGACAGTTATGTGACATAGTGCACGGGTCCGGTTGATGAATGAATATTGACCCCTTATTACCTGAAGCAGCCTGTTAGGCCGAAAGGGTCAACGTTTGGCAAGCACTAGCACCTGCATATGTACATAGGTTATGTGACAGATCACTTATGTTTGTAAATGATTTTAAGACCAGCGGAAATTAGTTTAATAATTAAAATCTATAAATATACGAAATACAAAGGATCGATTATAAATATAAATACTATTATATACATATATATGTATAATTCATCACAATGCCATTATATATTTATCATTTATCAATTCAAACCCAAAATCATAAAAAAGAAGGGCGCGCGTCAGACGCGTGTCAATAATTAAATTTTCCTTTGCGCCCATGATCTGCCCATTCATACAAATTAGTGTGTGCAACCAACAGGCACACAAGCGCATTATTGCCCTATTCATATACAAAATATGCAAGTATACGTGAATGGCGAGTCCAAAATATTTTTAATGCAGACATGGCAAGATTTAGGTACCAACGTTATCGAGCTAAAATGAAAAAATTTCGCATCGACGTGGCAAACCCTTTCTCTATTTTATATTACTCGTACCTTCAAAAGTGAAGATATGCCACCGACTTTTGAAAAAATTGAATTTGTGCGCATTTCTGCTTGTCGGACACACATTGAAACGATCCCTAAACATGAGAGAGCACTAAGAGTAAGTGCGAGCGAGATAAAAATAAATAACGTTGCCGTTCTATCGAACAAATCATACGGAAGAGAGTAAGCCAAGCAGTTTCCTGTCGTGTAAGCGAATAAACAGATATCATATGTATATCTTACTCCCTTGCCCGCAATTTTGGACCAGATACCACCGATATTTTTGTACCCATTTTCCTTCTACAGTCGCGGACAAAAGTATTAAGTTTAATATCATCTCATTTTATTGTATGCCCTATTGGGGTTTCTCGATACTTTAATTCGGTCTTCTGAGCGTAAAATATTAACCTAGCTTTCGTCGGAGAATAGAACATCGTTCCAGTAACGCTTCGATTTAAACTTTTTGGCAGATGCCAATCTCTTCGATAAGTTAATACTCGAAATAAGTGGTTGCGTCTTGCAATTCTCGCATTGCACTCAGCCTTGGTTAGTACCCTCTGTACAGTTTTGAAGCGAATTCCTTTAACAGTCTCTTCTTTAACCTCTGAACCAATTTTTGGGGTTTTCTTGATCTTACGTATTATTTTGGCGAAATGATAACCCATATCCTTTAGTGGGCGGCTGTTCAGCATTTTCTACCGTAAGCTCGTCCGAATGCAAAAAAATATATAAATTTATCCTTAAAGAATTTTTTCTAATATTTTTTTATTTTAAAATAACGGTTCGTGCAGATTTGCATTGACGTGAAAAAGTCTAACCATATCAAAAATAATATTTAAATAACAACATTACATTGAAAATTGCCAACACTTTTGTCCCTATAAAATTACGGGTACTTGGAATTAAATAATTATTAAAAATTAACCATGGCACCAATGCTTATAAAAATAATTGAATTGCTTCCACGAATAGCTAATAATCGCATAAAAATATAAAATTATTAAATATTGGACGGTATATTGGACAAAATCACAATAAGACTTAATAATACTAAATTGCCAATGCTCTTGTCCGTGACTGTATGTATATTTAACGAAAAAGTTTTGAACTTCCGATGAATAGTACTTTTGCTTAATCCACGAAATTCATGCTCTATATAAATTATACATTGCCCTAGATACTAACGATAAAATTAAATTCTTAATTAAATTATTATTATTTGTAAGAAATAAAAAATCAATTAAGAAATAAAAGGGCACATTTGTGTTTTAAAGATATATTTTACTGTTTTATTTTTATTTTAATTATAAAGTACAAATGTCTAAATGGAGGAATAAAAATGTCATTAATTTAATTTAAAGGAATTATATAAATATTTGCATCGACTTATAAATACATATTTTCTATGGAGCCAACTTCGTTACAAAACTTGCTTCCATATGTCAACACAAATTTGGCAGAGCTCATGATCAGCGCTAGAAACCTAAAAAAATTTATTTTGTCGCCAGTCAGGGACTTTGTCAGAGCAGTAATAGCAACACATTCAATTGTGCTGTTATGTTTGTATATTCACGCGTACAAACATATTTGTTTGCACAGCCCTATGAGGGCTGAAGCTGAGAAGCTCTGAAGCTGAGAGTACATTCTATTTTTAAATATTTCGCTCTCCGGCTGTGAAAGCGCAATGATACAGATTTCGTTTTCGTTCTCAATTTTCAAATAATCAAGCTGTATAGTATTTTTTTTGTTGTATGGCGT